GTCCTGCTTCGAATCAACCCACAATCCGTGACAGACCCAGAACTGAAAATTCGTCGAGAGTATCGAAAGATTTAATGAAAAAAACAGTAATTTGAAGAAATGCCTTAAGGTTTGTTAAATCAGATTTTAGGGGTAGTTGCAGAGAGAGAAGAAAGGTTGATGAGTGAGATGACTCGACAACACGCCAGATATTTGCTTCTCTAATCACACAATTTTAAATAAAAATTTGACTTTTTGTTTGGGCTACATTTCTTGACCTATTGGGAAAGATTTTTTAGTCCTACTTAAAAAAGCTACCTTTTTTGAGAATATGTAAAAACTTTGACAACTATAAAGAACCTGGAATCTTAATACTTTCATAACCAAAAGTGGTAGTAAATCATCAAGAGCAAGTTGCAAAGATATTTATTTTATTCAACAAAATTCGAGAACACCGGATTCAACCCGTAGTAAACGTTCCCTTATGAAGTTGCTCATAGTTTTAGCTAAAAGATCATGCAAACGATTTGTTCTATTTCGATTGTATATAGAGAATTTTGAAAAATGCTATTTTGAAATGTCATTTTTCAAAAAAACTATTTTTTCAAATTTTTTTTTAAAAATGTCACCTTTTTCAAAATCATTTATTCAATATATCATTTACGTTAAAAAATTTCAAAAAATGCCCATTTTACAAAAATACCAAGTTTTTGAAATTTTTACAAAAATGCCACTTTTTAAAAATTATTTTTTCTTTGTTTATGTTTTGGTTAACTATGTTCTATTAAGATTTAGTTACGAGGGTTTATGGGGGTTTAGAGGTCAAAACATTTTTTAGTGTTTAGAATTTTGAGATATAGGGTTTAAAAATCTATAATCAGTGGTATTTCTGCAAATAAACACTTCTAAGTGGCATTTTTGCAAATGTGCATATAAAAATGGCATTTTTGCAATTTTTCCACTTATGTTTGGGTTAATTATGTTGTATTAGAGTTTAGTTTTGAGGATTTATGGTTTATTAGGGACGAAACTTTTTTTAAGATTTAGTATTTTAAGATTTAGAGTTTAAAATATTTTAATTAGTGATACTTTTGAAAATAGTTACATCAAAAATAGTATTTTTGCAATTGTTCCTAGTATTTGTATATACACCCATTTGACAAACAAATACCATGTATTCTGATTATGTAATTTCTTGGATTCTATAATAATATACAAGTATATTGACGAAAAAAATTAATTAATAGCAAATTATTGTATTATGTTTAATTCCATCCATTTGTATTGTGAAAATTTAAGTTAATGAAAAAAAGTTGTGCACAAAAAAAAAATAGTTCCGTTAATTTTCTCAAAATTTTAAACTTTTTTTTTGTTATCTCAGGTCCTAAGAAATTACGAACCATAGTCCAAAACTCCTTAGATATATTAGAAAAATGTTCTTCTTTTGTAAAACGGTTTGAGTTATAACATTAACATTAGCACATAGATTAAGTAGGTTTTATGGTGTGCCACTGCCAATGTCATGTCCTGTCTTTTAAAAAGCAGGAGAGGATAGGATTGGATAGGATCACGATCCTCCCTCTTGCTGACTCGTTATGGGTCCACGCACATATCTAGAATTCTTGTATTTTTTCTTTCTAATAACGATGGTATAACTACGACAAATTATTTATGTATATACAGTGACTGTC